TAATTGAGTATTTAAATAATTTAGACAAATGACCCTATGTTGGATACAAATTACACTTTCTTTGGTTATTTGATATATGAAGTGATAATGAATAAATGAATGCAACATATATTTTAGTGAAAATATTAGTGGCAAGAACGAGTCTATCGCCCATAATGATTGGAAGCTTTATGAGGCTGCAGTGGGAGGCGACTTCCAATACTACACTAGTGTCTAGAATATCGAGAATCTACTTACCCTTAACAAAAACACCCCCTTCATGTGCACTTGACATCTCGAAGAATCGAAACCAGGGAAACACAATTTGTGGAATATATTCTTGATGAATATGGAGATCTCGTTTTACTCTCCAATGCCAAAAAAGAAACATCCCTTCGGTCAATCCAGTATAGCATGATTAATGATTAATATGCCCCAGCTTTTCCTCTAAACATCGAGACTGGAATTGGAGAAGACAAAAAGCTTGTCAAAACTATAAATTGCGAGATTGGCAATGTATTACATGATGCTCGTTCTGCTAGCAATGGATCCCTGTGAAGTGGTGTATATTTTGCTAGCAATGGATCTTGATCACTTATATTGTGCTAATATTGTTGATGAGACTGTTGTTGGGCTATTCCTCCTTTAATGATGCACAAGGTCCAATGCTATTTTCGTCGGGCACAAGACACTTGGGGCTCAAGAAACTTAATCCTACTTTTTAAAATTGTAGAATCTTCTCTCCTTTTCTATTTAAGCTTGTGTTATATAAGACGTTTGGGTTAGACAATTTTTAGAGAACAACTATAGGGAGAAGTTTGAGTGTTAAACCTCCTTAGGGAAGTATGTGTGAATACCACCATTGAAAATGATGTTTGAGTGTAACATCATTTATTGGTGAAATTTGATTTCTTGTAACCAATTATTTACATAGTGTAAGTTTGATTTTGGACTACTGTCCCTTGAATTTTTTTAATTCTTCACATTAGAGAAAGTTTTTCCATGTTAAACATCTTGATTGCCTTCCTCTTTTTCTCTGTCCTTTACATTTTTGGTCTTCTATTGCATTTTTGCCGACCTGGTGATTCAGGCCGACTTCTGATTTTGACTGTTGAGGACTTGAGCCAAGTATTGAAGAAAGAACAACACCCAACAATAACGTCCCTGAGCCTGAACCTAATCCTAAAGTAGAGTTTCACATAGATGTCATGAACCCCAGCACCATTGTCTTGGTTGAGATCAGAGACTTGATCATTGTGAAGCAACAAAAATTGCTGACTTAAGAAAAAGCCACTCATGGAATTTGTGTTTTTATGGTACTGTTGCACATTGGTCGGGCTACTGTTGAAAAAAACAAATTACTCAAGTCCAACTCGGCACATTGGTCGGGCTACTGTTGCAAAATTAGAAATTTGTTTCTCGGCTGCTGGTTGGTGATACCTCCTCTCGGGTTCTTAGCTTCTCGACGGCTTCTGCAAAATCAGGATATCACCTACCATTGGCCGATCAATTAGAGTAAGAAAGATCAACTACCCATATTATATTGTGTTGAAATAGATAACATGGGCTATATTGTAAGGGCAGAATCGCAGCAAGTATCCTCACCAAACATCTGTGAACTTTTCTCACTATTAAAGACAGTGGTTTCGAAAATACCATTCAGATAAGGAGATAATTTCTCTTGTTTCAATTTTATTTTATTAATTTATTTTCACTTGTCCTAATATGACAACTGCATAAATCGCTTACATAGACAATATTTCTCACCACTAGCACAACTTCCAAAAGTTGCTTAATGATTGGCCTTGGTGACTCTCTATCTCATCTTTTTCTTGATAGCATAGCTGTTGGATGAAACTTTTGTTGCGTTAATAAGTTCATCAGGCAAGATTTTTTTATGAAAACAGCCTCACGTGTATCTGTTATTACAAGATAGATTGCCCGATTAATGTGTCGAAGAGGCAAGAAGTCCACAACCTGTTTCCTAACAACTCCAACAGATCCAATTCGAGTAGTAACTTCATGGGAACCATTGTTGATGACAACATCAACATTAACTTCAAGGCATGTGGGTCCCACCAATAGAAGTCTTCACTTCTTCAAAATTTATGAATTGGCATATTGATGTACAAAGCCAAGGTGGACGTACGGTCAAGGAGTATTACCGATCGGTATGGTGACAAGATGACAATCCACAGACCAATCAAAAGTCCCACCAAATGCCAGCTATAAACATGCAAAGCTGCAGCAATGTCAACCTAATAAATCGTTTCGAACGGATTATGTTCGAAACTTTTGCACAGCACCAAGAGTACACAAGACCAACCTTGGGTAATATGTCCCTCTATTCAAATTTACACCTAAGGGCATGTCCTTCGACATGGTTTTTTCAAACAGGTCTAATACAACACATGTATTGCAACACGCCTATTACAAACATGCTCGCAAGCACTATCCCATGATCAAATTAGTCATTAAGGACCAAAGCGGTAACAGGGATACTTGCGACTTCAATCTTGAAAAGGCAGCGAAACCCTTATAATTAATCACATCAATTTTTCAAGAAATTTGATAGGCACATCCTTGACCTGAGGAAAACGGCTCTATATGCTCGAGTGCCAGAAACAAAAAAGGAACAATGCCATCACCTATCTCCAATATAGCTCCAAAGCCTCGAAATCAAGAAACTCGGCCATAGAGCCGACCTCTAAAGCCTCGAGGCCAAAATTCAGAAGCGCAGACATCAACCAAGCCATGTTTTTTTCCAAGATGATGACGAAGACAAATTTGGAGAGATCATTGTCCTGGCAAAAGGATCACACCCCAATCCAAGATAAACATGAAGACAGATTTGGAGAAATCATGGTCTTGGCAAAATAATCACACCCCAATCCGAGTAAAAATGAAGATTGATTTTGGGAGATCATAGTCCTGACAAAAAGTTTACACCCCAGTCTGAGATAAATACGGATACAAATTTGGAGAGATTGTGGTCTTAGCAAAAGGATCGCACCCTAATCCAACATTAAGATGGATTTGGAGAGATCGTGGTCCTAGCAAAAGAATCACACCCCAATATGAGATAAATACGAAGTCCAATAATAAAGCAACGACATGCGAAGCTGGGATACAATCAAAAAAGCAAACATTTGGCCTTCATAGACAAAATTAGGCGAAAGAAGCCAAGTCCAATAATAAAGACACGGTATGCTGATAACACATATTTTGTTACACTTATTTATTACTTTTGGTTGGTATTTTTATGATTTATTTGAATTAAATAAAGGTCTTTTGGGTCAAATCAGAATTCTAGATTTTAATTGGGTTTAATTGATTTTCGTCATAATTTTTCAAATTTACACTACTTTCGTATTTTGACCATATCTCACTCTACAGATGTCCGATTGACTCCGTTTTTCTTGTGTTTTTCAGCTAACAGAAAGTGCTACAATCGCTATTTCGGCTACTGAAGCCCAATTCGGACGGAAAGATGGTCGAAACCTGAGCCCATGATGACGCGTTTTTGCTAGAATTTTATTTTGATGTTTGGACTTGTAAATTAATTAGAACCCAATGTGTTTAGGGCCCAAGGCCATGATTTAATGTTTTATTTTATTTTATTCAGTTTTTATTTTATGCATGGGCCGAAGTGGTGAAACCCTAACCCATTTTGAATGTGGGTTATTTAAGAAAAATGTTAGGAAACCCTTCGGCAATCAGAATTTGGAGTTGAATAATTGTTTTTTGTTTTCTTTGAAATTCAAGATTCTGCACTCTTTCTTTTCTTCTTCTTCTTTCATTTTATTTTATTTTGAATGATGTTTAACCTCGCGATGCTAGGCTAAACACCTTTAATTAATCTAAAGTTAAAGGTTCGTTAATTTATTTCAGAGGGTGTGTTTTTTAACTTTTTAATTCAATTTCGTTTTTTCCCAATTCAGGTTAAATATCATGCGATTATAGATATTCAAACTGAATAATGCGATTGCATTCTCTAAGGGGAAACTGATCATTAGATTTAATGGTCATATTAATTTACGCGATGAACATAAGTTGAACAGATCAAAACTACTGCTATCGCATAGTTGAGATACTGTATTCAACCAAATGTTAGGCGCTAGTCTAGATAGGGTTTCCAATTGAATTTGAGGATTCCCAATTCGATTGGGGTTAATCACGAATTGATAATCATATCTTTTGTTATCCAATGACGAAATAAATTAATGAATCCTGATTCCTTAGGTTGATTGTTTTTTTAAATTCTGATTTTTAAATCCAATTTCAAATCTGTTTTATTTAAATTTCAAATCAACAAAATCCCCCTTCCCTTTTATATTTTATTTTACAAGAGCGTTTCTAATTTCTAGTAGGTTCTTTGGGAGACGATCTGAGTTGCCCTATCACTACAAAGCTGAAGCTCAGTAATTTTCCTGGGTTCGACAGCGCACGTCAAATTTGGCGCCGTTGCCGGGGAATCTGCATGTCAATAGTGTTCTTATTATTTTCCTAATCTTTCTCTATTTTTTTTGTTTCTTCTTGTTCTTTTAATTTTCGTAAAAAAAATCGTTTTCTTCAATTTTCGTTTTGATTTTTCTGTTTCTGTTTCTTTTAATTTTCGTTTTTCTGTTTCTATTTTTTTATTCTAATTAGTGAATATTAACATTAGATTAGATTTTGATTAGATTAGACTAGACTTTGTTTCCAATCATTCATAATCTTTTGATTCTGTTAAGATTTTGTTAGATATTGTTAGATTATATTATATTTTGTTAGATTTTGATTAGAAAGATTTGATTTTGTTATACTTAGTTTCCTTTTATTTTATTTTATTTTTTATTTTGGTTACTTTTGCTCTTTCTTTCCTTTTATTTATTTTTATTTTATTTTTTATTTTTTAAAAAATCGTTCAATACTGTTTATAATTTTATTTTGATTAATTTCTACTGTAGTTTAAATATAAATAATTTTTTTATAGGGTCATTTTATTTTTTCTAGTAGTATTGACATTAATTAAAAAAAACATGGATAATAGAAGTTTAAGGCAATTGGCGGCAGCAGAGGTTAACTATCAGCCTTTTTGCATTCATTATCTTGATCTTGATACTGATTTTAAACTTCAGTCTGGTCTTATCCATTTGCTTCCCAAGTTTCATGGTCTTGCAGGTGAGGATCCATATAAGAATTTGAAGGAGTTTCATGTAGTCTGCAGCGCAATGAAACCGCAGGGAGTTGATGAGGAGCAGGTTAAACTGAGAGCCTTTCCTTTTTCCCTCGATGGAGGAGCTAAGGATTGGTTGTACTACCTTCAACCTTCATCTATCGAGACTTGGAATGACATGGCCAGATTGTTTTTGGAGAAGTTTTTCCCTTCCTCAAGAGCCACTTCAATCAGAAAGGAGATAAGTGGCATAAAACAAGCAAATGGGGAGAACTTGCATGAGTACTGGGAGCGGCTTAAAAGACTTTGTGCAAGCTGTCCACATCACCAGATTTCGGAGCAATTGCTGATTGTCTACTTCTATGAGGGATTGCTACATATGGATAGGAACCTGATTGATGCTGCCAGTGGAGGAGTTCTTGTTGACAAAACACCTGATGAAGCTAAGGCGTTGATCTCAAACATGGCTGCAAATGCTCAACAGTTTGGAACGAGAGCCAATAGCAGTGCTGTGTACCAGATGCAAGCGACTCTGACCCAGCCTTCAGCAGTGGCATCAAGTACTGACAATCAGAGAATTGAAAATAGACTTGATGAACTAGCAATCATGGTGAGACAGTTGGCAGTTACCCAGACAGTCCAGACTTTTGCTCCACAGTACGACAATCCATGTGGCATATGCGATGACCCTTTTCACCCCACTGATGCTTGCCCTTCTCTGCAAGAGGGCCACATTCCTGCAGACCAGTCAGTCTCTGTAGTCTTTCCTGGGAAACCACAGTTCCAACTGCAGAATAATCCACTCTCAAACACATACAATCCTGGCTGGAAGAATCATCCCAACCTTAGATGGATCCAGAATCAGCAAAATGTTCCATATCAGCAGAAGCAGCAGTTCATCCCACGGCAGAGACAGAACTTCCAGCAAGCTCCTCCCCAATAGATGCAACAACAAAATAGTGGCAGTGGTCCTTCCTTAGAGGACTTAATGAAACAAATGGCCACCAACAATCTGAAGTTTCAACAGAGGACAGAATCCATAATCTAGAATTTACAGACACAGATTGGGCAATTGGCACATCAAAGATCTAGGCTCAACTTTTCAGTAGCTCCCTTCCATCACAGACAGTTCCAAATCCAAAGGGAAGCGGCAATGTTTGTGCTATTTTTTTGCGGTATGGCAAGATACTGGAGGAGCCAACCCAAGCTGCTGTTGAGTCATCCCAAGGAGGTGACACTAGTGCAAGGAAGCAGAACACTAATAAGTCTGATATCCACATTCCCTTTCCTTTCCCTCAAATAGCCACCCAGTCTAAAAAGCAAGCAGAAAAAGCTCAAGATAAAGAGATTCTTGACACCTTCAGAAAGGTAGAGGTAAACATCCCACTCCTGGATGCGATTCAACAAATTCCAAGATATACAAAGTTTCTGAAAGAGTTGTGCACTAACAAGAGGAGGCTGAAAGGAGATGAACGAGTTAGCGTGAGTCAGAATGTGTCAGCACTCATCCAGCCCATGCCCAAGAAGTGTCAAGATCCATGGACATTTACTATTCCTTGCATTATTGGAAATTCTATTTTTCATGATTGTATGTTAGACTCAGGAGCTTCCATTAATGTTATGCTTGAATCTGTTTATAAGTCTCTTGGTCTTGGTCCCTTGTGTGCTACTAGTATTGTTGTTCAGTTAGCCAACAAGAGTAGTGTTCATCCTTCTGGTGTAGTTGAGGATATATTAGTTAGGGTGAACAATCTGATTTTTCCTGCTTATTTTTATATCTTAGGGATGGAGGGTGATAATCCTAGTAGTACAATTATATTTGGTTGACCTTTCATGAAAACTGCTAGGACTAAGATAGATGCGCATATTGGTACTCTTTCCATGGAATTTGGTAATAGCATAATTATTTTTAATATTTTTGATGCCATGAAATTTCCTAGCGAAGAGCATTCTGTTTTCTGTATGGAAGTAATTGATGAAATGGTGAATGATATCTCTGCTGACTTAACTGCTGAATATCCAGAATTATCATCATTACTTGATTCTGATCTGTCATGTGGTTGTACCGATAGTAGTAACTGTATTGCTTGTACTGAGATAGCTTTGTGTTGTTCTGATTTTAATCATGTATTGAATGATGATTTGCACAGTGATTCTGCATTGGTGTTGAATTCTGAGTTGCCTGTTGAAATTATTGATGATTCTGTTTCTGAGAATTTGATTGCAGGCATAGATGTTAATGTGTTTTTTGCAGAACCTGCACCCACTAGACCTCTCCCATCCACTGAGCAGCCACCTAAGTTGGAACTGAAGGTTTTGCCTGACCATTTGAAGTATGCATATCTGGAGGAAATTAAGCAGTTACATGTGATAGTGGCCAAGACCCTTCTACCTGAGCAGGAGAAAAAGCTTCTGACATTGCTGAAAGAAAATAAAAAGTCAATTGGATGGACTTTACCAGATATTGTGGGAATCAGCCCTTCCATGTGCATGCACCGCATTTTGCTTGAAGAAGGTGCTAAACTAGTGAGGCAACCCCAAAGGCACCTGAACCCGCTTATCCTAGAAGTGGTGAAGAAGGAAGTCACCAAGCTTTTACAGGCCGACATCATTTATCCCATTTCAGATAGCCGGTGGGTCAGCCCGATTCAAGTGGTTCCCAAGAAGTCTAGAGTGACTGTAGTTGCAAATCAGAAAAATGAATTGGTTCCGGGAAGAGCTCAGAACAGTTTGAGAGTCTGCTTGATGTTGCTTATTCTCCTTAGGGAGTCCAGGGAGTTTTCTTCCCTCTTTTTCTTTTCTTTCTGTTATTTGCATTTTTATTTTTATTTTTCTTTCTTTCTTTTAGTTTTTGATTTTCATAGGTAGATTTTCCTTTTCTTTCTGGTAATTATTGAGTGGTACAGGAGTAGACATAGATCACAGTGTTTGATAGCATAGTCTGTTAGGCTTTGATCTCGATTCTTGGATTGCAATACCTGTTGATTGATTCTGTGTTGTTAATTGCATGATTTGGTTTACCCTTGTGAGGTTTTGAGCCTGTATACATGGCATACATCTTCTGGACATTTTATTCTTTCTTTCTTGTGTGCTTCTGCTCTTGATCTTTGTTCTCTAGAACTTGCTCTGGTTCTTTTTGAAACTGCATTTTTCACTTCCATGCATGAATATGATTGAGGCATTTATTTCTTTCTTTACCCACTTTAGCCAGATAGCCACCCCTTACATTATTATCCCTTGGTGAGCCCCTTTGAGCCTTTATATCTTTTATTTCTTAAGCCACATTACAAGCCTAAGTAAAAAAACCAATTAATTCCACACCCTGGAAATTTACTGAGCATTGGTTTCACTGTGATGTTGTGTTTAAGTGTGGGGGTTTGCCCGAGACGGACAAAATTTTAAGTGTGGGGGGTGACCATCTAATTTTTTTCTGCTATATGGTTTTACTGTATTGAAAAAAAATCAAAAAATTAAAATTAAAAATTAAAAAAATCAAAAAAAATTCCAAATCAGTATTAAATAAAGGTCTTTTGGGTCAAATCAGAATTCTAGATTTTAATTGGGTTTAATTGATTTTCGTCATAATTTTCCAGATTTACACTACTTTCGTATTTTGACTATATCTCACTCTACAGATGTCCAATTGACTCCGTTCTTTTGTGTTTTATAGCTAACAGAAAGGGCTACAATCGCTATTTCAACTACTGAAGCCCAATTCGGACGGGAAGATGGTCGAAACCTGAGCCCATGATGACGCATTTTTGCTAGAATTTTATTTTGACGTTTGGACTTTTAAATTAATTAGAACCCAATGTGTATAGGGCCCAAGGCCATGTTTTAATGTTTTATTTTATTTTATTCAGTTTTTATTTTATGTATGGGCCGAAATGGTGAAACCCTAACCCGTTTTGAATGTGGGTTAATTAAGAAAAATGTTAGGAAACCCTTCGGCAGTCAGAATTTGGAGTTGAATAATTGTTTTTTTTTGTTTTCTTTGAAATTCAAGATTCTGCACTATTTCTTTTCTTCTTCTTCTTTCATTTTATTTTATTTTGAATGATGTTTAACCTCGCGATGCTAGGCTAAACACATTTAATTAATCTAAAGTTAAAGGTTCGTTAATTTATTTCAGAGGGTATGTTTTTTAACTTTTTAATTCAATTTCGTTTTTTCCCAATTCAAGTTAAATATCATGCGATTATAGATATTTGAACTGAATAATGAGATTGCATTCTCTAAGGGGAAACTGATCATTAGATTTAATGGTCATATTAATTTACCCGAAGAACATAAGTTGAACAGATCAAAACTACTGCCATCGCATAGTTGAGATACTGTATTCAACCAAACGCTAGGCGATAGAGTAGAGAGGATTTCCAATTGAATTTGAGGATTCCTAATTCGATTGGGGTTAATCACGAATTGATATTCATATCTTTTGTTCTCCAATCACGAAATAAATTAATGAATCCTGATTCCTTAGGTTGATTGTTTTTTTAAATTCTGATTTTTAAATCCAATTTCAAATCTGTTTTATTTAAATTTCAAATCAACAAAATCCCCATTCCCTTTTATATTTTATTTTACAAGAGCGTTTCTAATTTCTAGCAGGTTGTTTGGGAGACGATATGAGTTGCCCTATCACTACAAAGCTGAAGCTCAGTAATTTGCGTGGGTTCGACAGCGCACGTCACATGCGAAGCCAAGCTCATATAATAAAGCCACCGCGAAAGAAACGAGGCTCGGATACTAAAGCATCACGACAAGGTGAGCCGAACTCGAAGAGGTAAATTTCATCAAAATGACTCTGATCAAGTAAAAATCTATGAAAGCCACGACATGCGAAGCCGGGTTAGAACAGAAGGCAAAATCCAAGCTCGAAATAAATATGAAGGAACAATATGCAAATTCTAGCTAACATAAAATTAATGAACAATTAGATTCCTTCATAAATAAGACTCTGAGTATAAGCCGAGTTCAAATAAATAAAGCAAAGAAATGTGAAGCCAGGCTGATATAAATCATGGAATCCGCATATATAAATAACACGACCTTGGCCATGTCAAAACAGAAGCCTTATGAATGAGAATTTGGGCTAATAAATGCAAGGCAAGAAAGATCTCCATGACCTTAAAACTTAGGCGAACAAGCCAAGTCAAGAATAATCAAAGGTCATGGCAAATGAAACCGAGCTTATATAAAAAAGTAACAGGGAAAGAAGCGAGCCTTGAAGTAAAAAAAACCAATACGAAAGAAGTGAAGCTTAAATAAAAATGTGAAACAAGCTAAGTTCAGAAAAAAAGCCAAGCAGACAAAAACTGTCGTTGCAAGCTTAAGATTTTGGCAGAACAAACCAAGTCAAAAACAAAAAACTGAGGCAAGAAAATGAAAAAGAGGCCAACAATGCCTCGCCAGACTCAAAGACCTCAAGCAAAAAAGAAGCCACGACAAGATAGGTTGGGTTTAATCAACGAAAGCATAATTGCCACCCTCACAGATACTATACGGCAAAATAAGTCAAGTTTCAAATTGCCAGAATATCAAAATACTAAAAGAGGTAAAGAGTCCGGAGCCGCACCCGAAACAACTTAATAAAGTATATATCCCATGGGAGCTAGATAATCCGGTCCAAACCATGCTTGGCCGACCAAATTACGCCAAGATTCCATGAAGCAGGGGAAACAAAAACAAGGTTGCAAGTAACCCGGCTGCTAGACCAAGTTTAGAAGCACGTGCAAAGTTTCAAGCTCTAGATACGGGTTACGTACCCTGCATTAGCAAGCACCCAACAAAGTGGTGCAAATTAAGAAGCGCGGTGACATTGTTACCTTTAAAAGTGCTAGAGCTACAAAAACCAATGCAAGTCCAAATAGTTGACATAATGAAATGTCAAAAGACGCACAACGCCACAAGTCCGTAAGTTGAGATCTCGGCAAGGTGATC